TGTAACTGAATAGTGCATCATGGAGCAGAAAGACAGGGGCTTTCATATGAATATGATGAATTGTTTGCCAGTTACTTCATTACTTAGCGAAAATAGGTGAACGACAATACATGGCGTCTATGCGAACTTGCATGTGTTCGAAACTTCTACTTAAAAATTATTATAAAAACACAGCAAAGACGGATCTCTATGAAAGTTGTTACAGCTGTAGAGGAACATCTGATCTACAAGATAAAATTATAGTCACTGGCTTCTGATCACTGAACTGTGAGAAAAAGTGTTCGAATATCGATGGTGTGCGATAGTAGGTTGCTGACTCTATAGCTATGCAGCTAATTTTTTTCAAATTGCTTAAAATATCACAGTACAAGTAACACATATCACTCAGGTGAATTCCAGTGGGCGAGTCCATTGCACCATAGTGCTTCATTAACTATGGCTGAGGTCTGAGGCCTCCCCATTGACTACCTCTTTTAATAACTCAGCCCATGACAGCCCACCTACAAATAAAACAATTCTCTTTTGATGCTTTTTTCTCTTGTAAGTCTAAAACATGCTTGGTTTAAGGCAATTTTATTTCATAATAATTTTGTGTCAATTTTTTATGAAAAATAATGACATAATGTCTGTATTGAGTACTGTTTGTAATGTAATGCTACATCTTTAGTTATACATGTTCCTTGTTGCTGGAAATATTGTAATATTAATTCATAGGAATATCATTTCTGAAAATGACCTGTACTATAGTCTAGCCCATGGTTTTTTCCGAAAATGGCTCCAAAATGACCTTTATTACATTTTCTGATACATATTGATGTCCTTATGCTGTGTAGAAAATGTTCCGGCTTCAATTTATTGAGTTGCAGCCATCTGAGGAGAGGCCATATTATTTGAAAATACAACGAGATTACTGTTAGCATAACTTATTGGATTAATCAGGGCAAGTTAGTGGTAGCAATTAATACACTCCTTCTGTCAATGTCAATGGAGTGTGTCATTGCCTTTCTTTTGATTCATTGCATCATTAATATCATTTATGGCTACTATAATTGTGTGGTATAATAATAGCTACAGTAAATAGCTACAGTAAATAGCTATGGTAAATAGCTATTGTAAATTACTATAGCTATAAATAGGTATAGTAAAGTTTGATCTTTATGATAAGCTTACTGCATTATAATGTACACTACAGTGTTGGTGAAAAAAGGATTCAGTTTTTTAAGAATAACATTAGTAGCCTTACACACCAGTGTACATACAGTTATAGCTGAGTTGTTCTCCTCAGCTGTTACATTCATAAGTCATATTGTCTTTATACCAAACCATTACTTTATATATGCTATTGTATTATAATATTTAATTTAATGCATTCAAAATTTTCATTATGCATACAAATAACTTGAGGAGTTTGTTTGAGTTTCAGTAACAAAAATTATGAACCAATTCGATTGGCAGGTTGGTATATGATTCAGATAGAATTTTGTGCCTGAATGTTCTGAGACTATTTTAAAAGATATGAGCTTAAAGCTATAAGTGTTGGTAACCGAGTTAATAATATGTAAATATACCATCTTCTTAAATTAAATTCTACTTATTATTAATTCTTAATTTAGATTCCTTGTATAATACCATTTATGGCTTGTTTGTCATTTTGTGTGATCATGTGAGTAGTTTATTTAGTTTCACTCCCAACTATTGTATGTAGTAATAGCTATTACTCTAACATTTGTGTAGGATGCTGTGTTAAAATTCTCATGATGTGTTATGATTGTTGATGGTAATTGTGTTATAAATAGGTGTGGTCATTTATGCTGGTGAGTCTATATAAAGCATTAGCATCTCTGAGGGATTGTGTGAGCTTACTGAGCTAAGAGGATGGCTGCTCTTGTTGAAGATGATCATGATACTCTTCAAAAGGAAGTGAGTTGTGCCATTAATCCTAACATTCTCCCACTCCATTTGTCTTTCTATTTATTATGGTATATATAATATTTTTCACTATGTATTTGCATTATTATTATTATGCTGCCTGCTTCTAAATGAATTGATATTTGGTCTAGTTATTATGAATATAGCAATTAAATGCTATATGAATTAGTATATTGTTAGCTAGTTGCTATTACAGTGAGCTGCATGCATTAGTGTATGTGTACAGACTAACAAAACTCATGCACCCATTTAGAGGCAGTATTTTATTTCTTTTACATTAAATATATGAAGCAACTTCTATTGTTATGCATATGCAAGAGTATTAAATTACACTGCACAACCCCTGACCCTGGCTCCATCATGCACCACATTATCACGTGTCCCTTTCTCTCATTCTTCTCTTGCTCTTCTTCTCTACTCTCTCTTTCATAGCCTGAGACTGGTGGCTCTGAAGGCACTGCTGGTGAGTATACTTCTGAAAGAGATAAATCTATGCATGGCAATTTTGTTTTAATAAGTGTGTCAAGTTTTTTAAAGAAATATTACATATTGTCTGTATTGAGTTCAATTTGTAGCTGTGTATCATTTATAATTTAATGTTACTCCTAATCATATCTGTAGTTACCTTGTAGCTAGGAATATTGTAATAGAAATTACCAACTATTGTGATTTGCAACCATGTTTACGCTACTCCGTTTTCTTTTCATTGGAAAACGGAGACTTTTAGTCGTGGATACAGCAAAAACTATTCAGATTCAGTGTAGCAGAGTAATATAAACATGGCCTAAAGATGGTGAAATTAGGCATTTCTTTACAGAAACAAATCCTTTCCCAATAGTATTTTCACTATACTGTATGTACATTTAGAATGGCATTATTTTCTATTGCACATAATTCATGAGTGTGTGCATTGTATACCAGTATTTCTAAAGTAAATTATATCATGATCATATAGAAGGATATTGAATCCATGTACTGAAATTGTTTAACCCTTTTCCTTACACAAAGTAATTCGCAAAGATTAATCCTTTGGACAACTTTTTGAATTATTTATGTTGTCATGGAAATCATCCATTTTTCAACGCCACACCTCTTGACCACGCCCAATCAGCCATTTTGATCGTTTTTCATAGAGTATCTTTGTGCCTTTCAAGAGCTCTCAGTAGACCTGCAAGTTCTATTTCATTCACTTAAAAGTGCTCCAAAGCACCTAAACTGCTTGCACCTACATAGATTTTAGCTGCTGCATTTACTTACAACCAGTTTCATTGCCTTTACAATATCATCAACAAATAGTGCCAACAAAGCATTCTTTCACTTTTCTATTCTTTCCTATGGTTTCTATTTTACCACTAATATTATTCAATACCAATTTCTGCCAAGAAGGTGTGGTTTCCTGTAAAACGTACGTGTTTGCCCTAAAAAGAGGCGTGGTAATTGCTTTTTTATTAATTGTTATTACCTTGTTGTAGTTCTACAACAAATTGTCAGGCAAAGAGTTAAAGAACTGTTTGTTGACTTAAGCAAATAGCACTGTGCATTAGTTTACTTACAACTTGTGTATTGGTGATTTGGTGTCCTTTGTTTTGCTTTCTTTGTATATAAAACTTATTAGCATTAGTAATTTTAATTGTCCATTATACCGTATAGCACTTTAATGTTGTGGAGCTAAAATTTTGCAAATTGATATAAATCAATTTTTCACAAAAATAACTTTTGGGTATTTGTGATGTTAGTGCCACGCCTTTAATGGCAATTGAATATTTAGCATGCTAACCCACGAAAACAGCAAAAGTTTTGCTCCTCGAAATTAAAGTGCTATGCTGTACATTCTATACTTTATATCAGAAGTAATGCATTTATTATGCATATCATATTAAACATTAAATTGTTCAAACGTACTACACTTGATTTGGCTATTCATAGTCAGTAAGTAATCTTTATTCTACAGATGATAGAGGTCGTACATCATTACACAGAGCATGTAAAGATGGTAACTATAAAGCAGTTGCTGAACTGTTGCAAGAAAAAGCAGTGGATATCAATGCTATTAGTCACATTGGATTTACACCACTTCATTATGCTTGTGAAGGTCGAGGTGATAAAGGAATTGTTCAGCTTCTTATTCAAAAATCTGCTGGTTGCCTGAAGTTGGGATTGAATGGAATTGAAGAAGTTCCAATACCTGATGACCCTAATGTTCAGTCTAAAGTTAAAGAGTATATCAATCGCACTGATAATCTTAAAGTAAGAGACATAATATCAAAATCAATAAATCAAATGATTTTTGTTATAATAATAATAATTATTATTATTATAAAGGAGAAACAAAGTTAGGGCAGTTAATGTAGGATAAAAATAAAATGATGTACATAATTATTATGGCAGACAATGAAATTTATATAATAGAGAAGTGTCAGTTAATAGAATAAAATTAGTTTAAATGATTATAATAAGGTCAAAAAAGGCTCCATCACAGGTGTCAACAGATCTCTATTATTATTATTATTATTATTATTATTATTATTATTATTATTATTATTATTATTATTATTATTATGTAGCGTACACCACTTGGTATTGCCTGTTATAAAGGACATAAAGAAATAGTTAAACTACTACTGGAGCATGGAGCTGATTTCAATGTCACTGATAATGATGGAGTAAGAGGAATAGTATTGACATAGTATTATTATTATTATTATTATTATTATTATGTAGAATACACCACTTACATTGTGTATTAGTGCCTGTATAGAAGGACATACAGAAATAGTCGAACTACTACTGAAGCATGGAGCTAATGTCAATGTCACTAATAATAATGGAGTAAGAGAAATAGTATAGACATGGTATTATTATTATTATTATTATTATTATTATTATTATTATCATTATTATTATTATTATTATTATGTACTCTTGCTATTATGTAGAATACACCACTTACATTGTGTATTAGTGCCTGTATAAAAGAAGATAAAGAAATAGTTGAACTACTACTGAAGCATGGAGCTAATTTCAATGTCACTGATGATGATGGAGTAAGAAAAAAATATTGACATAGTATTATTATTATTATTATTATTATTATTATTATTATTATTATTATTATTATTATAAGACAGAACAGTAGAATAACAATAACAATAGCAATAACAACAATAATAATAAAAAAAGGAAAATTGAGTTACATCAGCCCGTCCACTGAAGGTGGAAGGACAGATGAGCGACACAGCCACATATGAGCATTTGATCACCACAAACAAACAAAAAGTCTCTGAAACAGGTGATGGCAAACTTCATCTCGAGAGATACCTCTACGACTCCCAACATGGCTGCCGATAGAATGAATGATAGAGGCAGCACTAGGACTCCAACCTCCAATAGCCTCCATAGCCATAGGAAGAAATAGCACACCAATGCGATGGCAGCTTTCAAAGTGAACTATATTCTTCCTCTCTTCAGCAAACTGTAAAGCCCAGCCCTGATCTCTAGCAGCATGAGAGATAGTTAACTGTTGCAGAGGTGAAATTATAAAGCAGCAGGGCAACCAAGGGACCATGAAGGAATGAAGACATCAGCAGGACGAGAACAAGAGCCAGGAATTAGCGAAGGGACTTCCCTTTGAGAGGAAAGAGCTGCAGAGTAAATAATGTCCCTAAGAGCATTATGCCTAGCAATCCTGTCATTGTTCCCACCACATGCTAAAGAATGATCCCCAAAGGGGTCAGAGGGCCGAAGACATATAGGACAATCTGGACCAGAGTCAGACAAAGGGATGCCCAGCCAAAAATGAAGGCAAGTTCGAAACTCAGCATCCAAAAAGTGAAGACCCAAACCAGGAGATGGAATAGCAGTAAGCCAATCTCCGGCATGAGGGATGCTGGAAGACAGAGCTAAAGCCCGGAAACCAGGGGAAGACGAAAGTAATTTATCATAAAGATAATTGTCAATAAGTCGAGACAAGGACTTTTGAGACACTGGCATATCAAAGGAGTCAAATGAGGACAAGGAAGGCAACCCAGAAACAAAGGAAAAGATCTGAAGAGCAGAAGAGATGTATGAGGAAGGAATAGAGGCACCAAGCAGTGACACAATAAGACCCTGACAGGGATGAACAGACCCAATAACAACCAAAATACGCCAAGAAGAACAATAGTAGTTTTAAAAATAGAAATAAAGTCAGAAATGAAATAAAGTCAGAAATAAAATAAAATAAATGTAATAGTGATATATTTATTATTATTATTATTATTATTATTATTATTATTATTATTATTATTATTATTATTATTATTATGTAGAATACACCACTTGGTATTGCCTGTATAAGAGGACATGAAGAAGCAGCTAAACTACTACTGAAGCATGCTGGAGTTGGTATCAATTGCACTAATGTTGAAGGAGTGAGAGAAATTGTATTGACATGGTATTATTATTATTATTTTGTAGAATACACCACTTAATAGTGCCTGTATAGAAGGACATACAGAAATAGTTAAACTACTGCTGGAGTATAAAGCTAATGTCAATGTCTTTAATAGACAAAAAGTATCAGACACAGTATAATAATAATAATAATAATAATAATAATAATAATAATAATAATCCACTCCCCTATCCTTCCACCTGATGTGGATGGGCAAGTCTGACTCTTTCTTCCTTCCCTATATTATTTCTCTTCTTAATACATGTATAGTTTATTCATTTTGTTTTTTTTTTCTCATAGGGCCTTCCCTCTCCTTTCCCTTTTTTGTATTTCTCTATTATTAGTAATGCTTTGTTTTTGCTTTTATAATAATAATAATTCTCTCTTGTCTTTGTGCTTCTTTTTGTTTTTGTTTCTTCTCTTCTTTCCATTTTTGTAATTATGGGTTTCTTCCCCTTTACTCTCATCTCTCTCTCTCCCTCTTAATTCTAATTCTTGTTATAATAATAATAATAATAATATTATTATTATTATTATTAATGACTATAAAATAAAATTCTTTAGTTCTCCAAAATTTATTATTATATTTTTTTCTCCTACTCTCCTTCTCTATATAAAATAACTTAACCTATTCTATTTTATATTTTTACATTTGTTGTCTGCTCATATTATTATTATTACTATTATTATTATTATGTAGTATACACCACTTGGTAGTGCCTGCTATAAAAGACATACAGAAATAGTTAAACTACTACTAGAGAAGGATGGAGTTGAAGTCAATGTCACTGATAATGATGGAGTAAGAGGAATAGTATTGATATTATTACTATTATTATTATTATTATTATTATTATTATAAAGTACAATAATTGGAAATAAAACAGGTTAAAATGCATACACTTAGATGTAGAAAAATATTAAATTTAAGGTGGAAAGGAAAGTTAGAATAATAATTATAATAAGTATTTTTGATTATTATTATTATTATGTAGAATACACCTCTTGGTATTGCCTGTAAAGCAGGGCATACAGGAATAGTTAAAATACTACTACTGGAGCAGAACGGAGTTTATCCATTTATCAATGACACTAATAAACAAAAAGTATGAGACACAATACTTAATAATAATAATAACATTATTATGTAGCGTACACCACTTGGTATTGCCTGTGTAGAAGGACATACAGAAATAGTTAAACTACTACTGGAGCATGGAGCTAATGTCAATGTCACTGATAATTATGGAGTAAGAGACATACTGTACATGTATATCCAGAAATTTATCTGTTTAGAAATTTTTGCATCTGAAAAGTTTGCGCTATTTATTTTTTGTGTAATAAGGATGCATGAATTGTGAATGTGGCATTTAATTTTAATTGTGACCTGATTTTTGTGAAATCCTCATCTTGTTAAATAAAGGTCACAGTAAAAATTACCAAATGTATGGTGATTGGCAACTAACAATAAGCTCAAGATAAAAAAACCTAAAAAACCATTTCAAATAGGAAGCACACAACAAGCAGCCCAAGCAAGCAATCATAAGGTTTAGTGTCCAGTTTCAATACTAAAGGCAGGTTCTCAATATGACACATTGCTTTTGGTACTGCTGTAAGAAACGAAATTAGATTGAAATGTCAGAATAAGAAAAGATTCTATTCTTAACTTTTACAAACACACAGTCACACACTACGTCACTACCATTTGTCTGTCTATAGTACTTTCACATGATTGCAATTGAAATGGATGAAAGCTGGCAATGTGTCATATTGAGAAATTTATGTCAACCCTATACTGCGCAGCTCTACATGTTGCAATGATTAATGAAGACCTAAGGATATTGCTGATATTTATGCTGGAAATGTTTCTGTTCTATAGAATACACCACTTAGTAGTGCCTGTAATACAGGGCATACAGAAATAGTCAAACTACTACTGAAGCAAGATGTTGATGAAAAAATAAATGCTCTAGATGTTGCTGTGGTGTTAGGACGTAGGTGAGTATGATTTATTGGAATGTTTTTGGCATACAGTATATGTTTGTTATTTTAATCTAGAGATGCTGCAATGGCTATAGTCAAAAGTGATAAGTGGGAGGATGCATTATGTAGTTATGAAGTTGGGGATGCAAATGTTTTGGATACAATTGTTGTGGATAAAAGTGTTGGGGATACAAGTGCTGGGGATACGAGTGGTGATGATCGAATATTTAGCAAGTTATTAAAATTTTGCAAAAATAAGAGAAAGTAAATAACTTTTAGTGAATTACAGTGATCATTGATGTCCCTATATTGACAGAGATGCTATTACAACACCAATGAGAAGGGTAATTGAGAAGATGCCAGGTTAATGGGTTGTATATTACATGATGTATTATATATAATGTACATTTTTATTTCTTAATTTTTAGATGTAGCTAAAGTTGTTTTTGATCGCTGCTGTGAGACAAAAGGATCACCATATGATAATGATTATGAGATTACTTATAATTATGAGTTTCTTGAGGATTTTGATCTGTAAGAAAAAACTAGCCCAAATGAATATTTTGTTATTTAAAGTGATGACAGACAGACACAACCTAGTCACTTAAAGAGTGATAATAATGATTGCAAGAGATCAAAATGGCCTCCACAATCAAGATACTCTAGTCAGAATCATTGTCTTAATATTCTTGCAAGTTGCAATTATTGTAATTTATAATTTAATAATTATGATTATTCATAGGCTAATTCACCTAGTGCAGATTTATTGAAGCATCCGCTTGCTGCTACCCTTCTTGATCAAAAATGGAATAAATATGGACGAATAGTCTATTACACTAATTTGATATTTTATTTTCTATTTGTCATTTTACTGACATCATTTGCTCTCACTGTCCATCCTCCAAATTCAAGCAAATGTAAGTTATTTTATATACCAACATATTGATTTGCAAGTTGGTTGTCATTATTATAAGTAGTTTATTAATTATACTATTCACAATAGGTATGGAGATATTAGGAAATGACACTGACACATTTATTGATTGCTTTTCAGGTGATTGAGTTAAACTCATGTGACTATCATGTGACTTTCATTTGTGTTTAGAGGGACGTTCTGCCTATGTTTCTATTGCTAGTGTATTTGTGATTGTTTATTCTATAATCATGTTAATACGTGAACTGGCTCAGGTCATTCAGTTCAAATTAGAGTATTTGTCCAGTTTTGTCAACTACATTGAAGTTCCACTATTTATCTTGACAATAATGTTTACATCAGTACGTAGCAACCAGTGTTATTGTACTCATTCATGGCAGTGGCAGGTTGGAGTGATTGCTGTATTCCTCAGTTGGATTGCACTTGTATTCTCCATAAGAAAGCTACCAGTAGTTGGAATATATGTGGTCATGTTTATAAAGATTTTTAACAACTTTATCAAGGTTGTCGTCCTTGCCTTACTATTAATCTCAGCCTTTGCATTTCCTCTTTATATGATGTTTTATAATCCTCAAGATAGAACAGAAGGAATAGTAAGACTTAATAAAATCCAAAATATTGCCTCTTTTTTCACTCTCTTTATAGCGTACTCCATTTATCACTCCATGGAGGACAATTATTAAAACAATAACAATGACAATGGGAGAATATGATATGGATTCTTTATTGCGACAGGATGATCAAAGGAATGCTCCTGATGTACAGTATCCAGTGGTTACATTTTCATTGATAATTGTGTTTGTGGTTTTAATGCCAATTCTATTCCTCAATCTATTGGTATGGTCGTAGTTTATTAATTTTATTCACTGACAAACTCATTTCATATAGATTGGTTTAGCTGTTGGTGATATTGAAGAAATACGAAAATCAGCTGATGCTTACAGGCGTACTCTAAGGGTAAGAACTGATTATATACACTGTTATAACTGCTTGCAGGTTGAGTTTACACTACCTATTGAAGAATTTCTAAGAACCATTTCAAATGCAAAACGATTGCCAAAGAAAGTGAAG